GCGTTGGTGGTATGCAGTGAGCAGGCTGCACACACTTCAGAGCTTGGGAAGGTCAGGTCAGGATCCCCTTAAGACGTGAGGAGCTCGGAGCTTGACTTTCCAAGTTCGGGCTTCTAACTTAGGATTCTCGGAGTCAGGGACAGAAAGTCGGTCAGACCTTCCAAACCTTAGCAACAAGCTTGTCCACACGGTGGCTCGGGCTCACCAATCACTGTTTGTAGCGATTGCGTTTGCACTACGTTCAGTTGCAAGTCGCAAAAAAGGCTTCCCTTTCTGGCATGGCATCAACTTGGCAAAGTCAAAGCTCAGTGCATTCACGACAGTCTAGAAGGAAGCGCCTGTCTGTCGTAATTTCTGAAGGCTTGTAAAACTCCTGCAGTCGATTCACTGGCATTGGTCCAAAGTCTCTAAAGAGGAGGCTGGAGTTTGTCAAAGCCTAAAAAGTTGATCAAAACTGGAATTGTCTAAGCCCATCGCCCTGACCACAAGAAAGTTTTATCAGGCAAACAATGAGACATAAGGCAACAATGTCCTCCTCTTCTCCAAGTAAAACCATTCCGCTCGCCCTGAAAGGATGTTGCTTTCTGGACCTTCTGTCACCTGCAAAATGAAACAAATGCGTCACGGTCACCTCGTGTTGCAAGAAATGGAACTGCCGGCCCAATCAATTCTAATTTGATGTTTGGAACATGAAGACACCCAATGGTGGGACGTTTCCTCAAACCAGGAAGTTTTGAGTGAGTGCCCCTCCAGACTATCCATATTCCGTCATGTCCCCCAATTGCCCCGAATCAGCTATGATTCACTGATCTGTTGATTGATAGACCAAACAGCTTTTGACTAGTCTGTGGGTTTTCCTTGCGGCCTGTTGAAAATGCCTTCTTGCAGTTACTAGCGATGGCCTCCAACCTAATTGCTAGCGATGGCCACGAAACGTTTTGAGATTCCAGCCAGAAACACTGGTTTCTCAGACAAACCGAGCTGCATCCGACTGCACTAACTCGTCGCGTGGACGATCTGCAAGATGGACAGCTTTGAGGCCAACAACAGCCTCCGAGGGCAAAATGTGTTCCAAACCCGCTGAACGAAAAGTGTCCCGCACCTCAAACTTTTGGGGGGGAGTTATGTACGTCCAAATATTTACGGGTTGCTTAAACAATTTTTGGCAAGAGCGTACGGTCGGTCCCAAGTAACTTCACGCAAACCCACGTAGCATGTTTGTAAAAAATGACGACCCTGAAAATTACAGTCCTATTTCTTTGTCCAACAACAGCCACAAAATTACAAAGTCTTCACAAGTGCTACTCACCAAAGACTCTTCCATCCAGCCGCTCCACGGCCGACCCATTTTGTTGCGTCCACGGTCTTGCAGACGTTGCAGAACAAGGAAATGACCCTGCCCCTCACATACATACATATATATATATATATGTATACATGTATGTGTATTTTTATATATGCCAACCCCTCTTGAGATCCACCTTTGATCCTTTTCCAAAGACACGCATGATCAAACTCACTGCACACTTCAAGTGAGCTTGAGTATGCAAATTTTACAGGCAGATTTTGCCAGCGTACACAAGGGCTTTCGCATATGGAAGCAGATTTGCATTGGATGCAAGGATTGCATTTTTGCATCCCAAGTCTGACAGCTGTTCAGTCGAAAATCCCAAGTCTGATTTTGTGCAAGTATACGTCCAACAGAGGAAATCATTGGAATCCAACAGAGGAAGCAGACAAAGAGAAGACAGGGACAAATGTTAGGACAAAAATTGATATTAACGAATCAAAGAACCAACCTTCATAGGTGCAGCAAGAATGCCCTCACACACATTTTCCCCACTCTGTTGGCTCTTGAGCCATGGCCCGCTAGGACTCTGCCATGAACCATTCGACCAATGAACCAGTTGCAGTCAAAAGGTCCTGAACTCAGACTAAGCTGAACGAAGTTGCATCCGCAACAAACGACTACCCGCTTTGGAGCGCTGGTTGGTGTTCAACCTATCCTTCAAGTAGCACCAGCAGCAATCCATGATTTGGGTGCCTGATTTCACTTTCAGAGGCGTCTTGGCGCCAGCAACCTTGCGCTTCTGGATCTGGACATGTCGGGGCCACTTAAACTTCCCGTTGGCTTTGACTCTCTTCTTCTTGTGTACGACTGGAGGACGCCCGAGACATTGGAGGCATAGCTCTTGGCAGACTCTGTATGAAGGATGATTTGAGGATCTTGCAGCCACTTTGCTGCTAGAGGTTCCCATTCCACCTTGCGAGCCGCTCCGGGCCCACGGCAAAGCAGCGAAACATGCTTTCATGAGTTGCCCTTGCCCACTGAACCCATGTTCAGACTTGAGATTCAGTGTTCAGACTTGAGGTCCCCATTCATTGTGCGACATCGCTCTTCCCAGTTCCCGAATTTAGAGCACTATTGGATCCCTGCATTGAATCATTGAAGATTGAAGGTTGAATATGTGAGATTATTTATACAGCTGTCAGCCCAAAAGAAATCGTGGAGACAAGAAGCAAAACTCGTCAACGTTTCGTCTCACGTTTCACATGACACAAAGCAGCTGATGGCACTCTCATCTTTTGACCACGGGGTTTCTGCGTTCAACTATCAGCTCAAAAAGAATGCATGGTGCCAAGAGGTCACCATGGTTGGCTTCGAAAATGATGCGCTTTAATGCGAGCAGTCTGAACTTGCACATACACTGAGACAGGTGGTTTTCGTCTCGAAGCAACTGCAAAGACCAAGACGGAGGCAAACAGCATTGCGTCAAAGTCGTCAATGGTAAAACTGAAATTGTGTGGAAGCAAACGTAGGCTGTGCAAAATTGGCAGCTGGTGAAAAAGCTGCTGCAATCTATGGATGGATTGCGTGAATTTAGGGGGGGTAGAGAGGTGGGACGATTTTACGCGAACGGATGGTCCCTTGACAACTTGGTCCCAAAATTGCACGGTTTAAAGATACTTCCAACGTAAGATTAAAGATATGGCTTTGCTCAGTGTCCTGGACATCATTGTGGAACCGTGGCGGCTCACTCGTTACCGGATGGTATCAAATGCATGTGTCCACAAATGACCAAATCAGTATATCAAACAGATTAAGTTTTCTTTTGGGTTCGTACAACGTACTGCTGACGTAGTAAAAATAATGCACTATCCCTTCTTTGTCGGGAAACGTTTCTTATTTATACAGCTGTCAGCCCAAAAGAAATCGTGGAGACAAGAAGCAAAACTCGTCAACGTTTCGTCTCACGTTTCACATGACACAAAGCAGCTGATGGCACTCTCATCTTTTGACCACGGGGTTTCTGCGTTCAACTCAGTCTTGCGACTCACCCCTTGACCAAAGACTGCAAAACGTCATCCCACAACTCCTGCAAATTGAAGTCCACTCGGACAGCACTCCCAAGCGAGAGGACCTCTTCTCTCGACAACCTGTCACTTGGATTAGATTCACTTGGTACTCGCTCGTACCATACTGAAGACGACGCATTCTCCTGACAATCAAGGATCCAAGACACTGTCCTGTGACACACGGCGTTCTCCGACGCGCACTTAAGTAGAGACCCTTTGATGGACTCCGAGTCAGTGAACAACACAAATCGTCTGTTAGGGTACGACGGCAACCATTCTCTCAAGGCCAACAAGGCAGCAAAGCCTTCAAGCTCTTGAATGACCACTTTGGCTCCCTCGCTGCTCATGGAGGCAAGCCACTCATCCGGCACCCTGAAGCTGAAGAAATTCTGCGCATCCCCTGAGCTGTCATACAGCACACCACCAACACCACTATATCCGCCTGGGCAGAAGGATGCGTCTACGTAAATGTGCACAAAGTCGCTGTAACGGCTGTCGATGACCCTTGACAACCCAGAGACCAACCGCGAACGAATGCTCACGAGGGCTTGTCTTAGATCGTCACTGATCTGTGTCCAGCCCCTTGAGACATGCCTATTCAAGACTGAAAGGAGGAGTCTGAATTTTCTCCCGAACAGCTGTCCACTCGCGAACTGCAGGCGCCCTCGGAGCCTTTCACCGTCGTGACGCTTCAGGCGTCCACAAGCCAAGATGCTATCGATCTCGTCTGTGAGCTCGGCACTTCGGTCTTTCGTGTTGGACACTAAAGCTTTTCCGAAGACACTTTGTCCAAGATCCAACTGCACTCCCAGTACCTTGCAACAAGTGTTGAAGGGTACAAGTTTCTCGACTGACGTCTCCCATCCCAGTAATTGAAACATCACAGAGATGCAAATGTCGGTATGTCTGGAGAGCGCAGGCGTGGTCAGGGACAAGAAGTCGTCGAAGTAAGCGCTCCAGACAAGTTTCAACAACTTCGCCCCTATCATCCAGACGGCGGATGAGCACCGCAAGAACGCGGTCACGGACGCGACGGATCCGAAGGGCAGGACACGCTGCTTGTAGATTTCAGCTAGCTGGGACTTCGGGTTGAAGACAACTATATACGAATCTAGCTCGAAGGCAACGTCAGAGAGAGGGACTTGTTTGTACGCGTCGCGGAGGTCCCACGTCTTTGCCACCGCTGCGCAGTCCTTATTGTGTTCCAGATGTGACCTGAACCAATGGGCAACCAGTCCGGCCACATGGTCGACAGTGTGCACTGACACTCCCTCTGGCTGTGTCACAGAAGAGTTTACAAGAGAAGCTCTCTAGTCATCAATCGGGCGCACTTTGTTCTTTTGTTTCACTGGGAATCTTTTCGTCAAAGTGGCTCCAGATGGCACGCAGGTCAAGTCAACAGGTCCCTCTAGGAACCCTTTGGCTACCTCCTTTCTAGTGACTTCGTGAAGTGCAGCATCAAGATCTGGGTCTCCAGACGACTTGCAACTGAGGACCATGGCTTCTCGAGCTAGGTCGGCAGATTTTCTCAGAGTCTCGCAGGGCAACGAAGCTGGCCTGAATTTTTCTTCAAAGAAATTCGACCTAGGCAGCTTTCCTGTCAGGTCGAAACCATGGCGAATGCATTCTGCTAGCGTGGTGTCGGAGTGTCCTGCCTCACGGATCAACTGGTCAAAAAGATGCAGCCTCTTCTTCTCCAAAACTTGTCTTCTACGCGTTGACAAGGAGTCTTTATTCTTTGCTTCGGCTTGGCTGAAATCATTGGCTAAGCTCAACCATCTTTTCGCAACTTCTGTGCGGTGCTTGGCCACTTCATAGTCAGTCCTCGAGGCACAAAAATTGTTGGCTTCAATCATCTCTACCGGAAAATTCGAAGCTAGCAAAGCTGGGTGGCCCACTCTAATCGCTTCTGCTACGAATTCCTCTGGCGCCCAATGAATACCAATCGTTATGTGCTCTTTGGTTTCTGTGACTTGTTCTGCCTCCCCTTTCCTGATTTCTTCACTCGCGAAATGCCCCGGTCTGGGAGTGGAAAGCTTCCTGGAAAGTGGAGGGAGCGGGGCGTCAGCAGGGTGACGCAGGATGGCTGCGAACTCAGGCACCAGAGGTGGCAGGGGCTTGCGGGATTGTGTGCCAGTGGCTGCTCTCAAAGTTTGCAAACTGGCTTCTTGCTGTGCGAAACACAAAGGCGGGAAAATCAAACCTTGTTGCTGCAGCCAGTCACTTAACGCAAAGGCCAGCGACCGACACAAGGCCCAAGGATAGGCGGTCTCGTGGGAAGTTGCCCATCCATTGGGGGCCATGGCGCATTGGCCCCACGCTCATGGTCGTGATCACCTTGGCAAAATGCTTGTAAGGCGGAAAAACTGGGGACCATGTGGACCAAGGAGGTGAGTTTGCGTCTTGCACTGCCATAACAACAGTGGTGAAACTGAGTTGTTGCGACGGGGATCTGCTGCAAGAATTCTTGAAAGCATGTCGTTTGCCACATGAACGAACGGCCCGGGTTTTCAATGGAGAAAAGAATGTGGTTGCGGTAGCAAAAGGTGGCAAGCTGACAGGTGACACGATACAAAAGATTGGCTTGGCGAACTCGGTCTGCGTCAATACCCGTGAGGGTAGGCAGGCCGTCGGGGTGCTGATCGGTGCGTAGCACCGGCGGGTTGAACCTGCCTTTCCGTTGGATCAAGCGGGCCCGCGAGGCGGTACCGCAGGGTGGCGCAAAATGGCAGAAGATGCAAAAAGGATCGGACATCAAGGTTTCCAAATGCTTCACTTGGATTGGATCGGTCAAATCTAGTCTAATTAAGGGACTTGTCAAGCGGGCTGGAGTCTGGCAGTCAACTCCAAAGCTTTCATTCATCCCAAACTGGCGAAGAACTGCGGTGAGTCTCCCTGTGCCTGCGAAAACTTCGATGCAGAAAAATTGCTGCACATGTTTGCCGCGAAGCTTTGCAAGCACGCCGGTCAAAAAATCTCACTTGTGCTGCAAGAGACTATGCGCTTTGCCGCATCCGGGCTCAGCACAGACGTGCAGGCCTCGGGAGCAAGCGTTGCCAACTGCGGCATCTTTACAACCGGAAGACATGTTGAAGGGCCAACAAATTCTGTCTCCATCGCTGGTTTCCAAAGCCTTGCCGATGAGGTCTTTGGGAACGTTGGGCCCCCTTCCTTTGTCACGTTTTCCTTTCCCTTTTCCTTTGCCCTTGCCTTTCACCTTCAAAAACTTGTTGGGGCTCTCTTGCGTGGCAAGGCTGGTCTGGGAACGCTTCAGCCACTTGCTGTCCTTTGGAGGACGATCGGGCTGCTTGGCCAGTGGAAGCAAATGGAAGCTCACACTGGGATGCGACAGAACTGTGGGCAAGGCTTCTTCAAGCGGCTTAGTCCCGTCAGGCTTCGGCTTCAGGGTGGTCAGGCGCTCGGCTAACAGCAAAAACGCTGCGCGATCGGCCCTCAGCACCTGTTGTACTGTGACTTCGTTGTACCCCGGCGGGGCTGACTCTTGGAGGTGTTGGACCAGCTCGGACTGGTACTGGTTCATGACATTGTATTCACATGCGCCCACCAGGTCAAAGGCCAGAGCACGGCGGCGAAAAGCCTGGACAATCTCAAGCTCTGTCTTGGTTGGGCAGATCATGTCGGACTTTTTTTCTTTCAAAGTCAGAGACCCGTTGTCCAACGACAGCTCTTTGGATGGTTTTTTCTGTTGAAGTTCGAAGCGACGGGTCTGAAACTTTTCTGGCCCGAGATACAGGAGCGCATCCTTTTCAAGCATCTGCAACACAAGGTCATACGATGCGTGGGCGTTTTCTTCCGCCCCTTTGAAAAGGAGGCCGCCCAACCTTTTCTCTGAGCTGTAATTCGGGTGTCGCGCTCGGCAACTGCCATGGTCGTCGGGAGTATTTCTTCTTTCTTCTGGATCTTGTTCTTGAGCTCCCCAACGACCATGGTTTGCGCTTCAAAAATGAGTCGTTTGGTTGAAGCGATGGTTCCGATGTTTGGAGTCACGCTGTCCCCAAAGAGGCCACGAATCTGGTCATCAGTCGCTGTGGTTCCTGGCGGGCCCAAGACAAAGGCCAACCGCGCTAGACTGGTGAGGTTGTTGTCGATGAGAGCCTGAATTTCAGCCTCAGTCAAATGTACCTCCAAACATCGTGTCTTCAAGGCTTCGGTTGATTCGAGGAAGGTGGACATGGCTGGCACCTTGGGAGCTTTGCCAAACTTCTCGAGCTGCTAGCAAAACATGTATACAACTAAGTCAAACAGAATCAACGCCAAGCGCAGGAATAGTCTCTGAAAAACCGAAATCTTTCAGTGGCTCTTCCTGTTCGTGCAGTTCCGCGAGTGTCACACAGATCAAAGAGACTTGGCGCCGACATTTGTCAAGCCTGAGTGCGCTGCCGCTTCAGCACTGCCGCCAAAGCGCCATAATCTCTGATTGGTCGAACTGTTTCGCAGCGAAGACATTTCCGACTCTGCAAAAACAAACTCTCACTGATCTCACGAAAATCGGATGTGTGGACTATACCGCAATGAAAGCGGTTGCGAATTGTGCCTAAAGCTTTCTTGTGCACGACTTTAGTCCTATGGTGTTGAAAAAGTTGGACATCAGGCTCACTGTTGATAGCTCCGTGCTCAGGCTGGAAATCGGCCAGCTCTTGGTCAGACATGGAGGCATCGGAACTCGATTCGCTAGATTCGCTAGATTGGTCATCCAGCAACCTGGCTGGGCTAAAGTCTGTGGGTTCAACCCTGTGATCCTCCTCCTCCACCGCGATTGGAGCCTCAGGCTTTGTCGCGATGCTCTCAGAGGCGTCGTTGTTGATCTTGCCTTCGTTCTCCTGCTCTGCCACCATACCGGATCTGGTGTTGTCTGGGCAAAAAGTTCCCTGCCGAACATGTTGAAGCATGTTTTCGTACTCCCTCAACGGGGAAGCCAAGAGCTCCCTGGCATAAATGTCAGCAGATCTGGAGTTCGTGCTGTGGTGGCCGAGTATCAGGCGACTGTGTGGCTCGATGCCAAACTTTGCACACCAGCTGAGTGTTGTGGCCTTCAAAGAATGCGACGTTGGCCGTCGCGTCTCCTTCGGGTCCTCGTCAAGCAACACCTGAATCCACTTTGAACACTCTGAGCTTCTGACTGCTCTCTGTGTCCAGGCGCCACTCTTGTCGGGCGCGGGCATCAAGGGCCCTTCAGGCCGATCGACGAAAGCTAATCCGGTTTCCTTGGCCACGTCCAGAAATTTCACGCCCCAAGGAGGGGTTTCAAGTCCCAGGACTGGTGCCACTAGTGGCATAACTAGCCCTTTCTTTCGTACCAGATGAGCCGTCTTGTGAGACCGAGTTCGGCACTCCAAGAAGCCATGACTGGTTGCCCGCGCAACCTGCGGGATATCGCATACTGCGTTGTACACTTTGCGAACATCGCTCCACCTGGACCTAGAGTAGATGCAAAACAGAACAACACCGACAAAGTATCGTTCAGTCAGCGAGACGCCCTCATCGCTCAGCATCTGTTCCAAGCGCTTGATCTCTGTGACTGTCAACGGGCGTGCCTGCCTTAACTCCTTTCTCTGGCCCAGGGAGCTTTCCAGCAACCTTCTGCCTTTCAAAGTCACTATTCCTTCCTCGGTTTCAGAAACAAGCCTCATGTGAAGGTGATGCTTGCAAAAGTTCACTGCTTCCTCAAAACTTGTGTAGGCAGAAGGAGCTGCCTCACACGTTGTCAAGAAAGAAAAGTAGTTCTCAATGTCCAGAGGGGATGCAGGAAAAATATCTGATTGTTTCTTCTCTTTGCGCGCCCAACTGCTGAATCTAAGCAACGACGCGACTCTTTTCTCAAGCGTGGCAACGCTCTTCGATCCTAAGAAAAGTTTGAGTGTAGCAACGCCCTCCTTGGTGTCCTCGGCTAAGTTGGCGAAACTTTCTGGCAGACAGGACGAACTGATCGACACCAGAATGGTCCACTTCTCATAGAGACGGTTCAATCGCCTTTCTTCTGCCAAAGCTTCCTCCTCGACTTCGTGAAACTTGATCACCCTCAAAAAGGAACCTTTCTTTGGCTGACCTATGGTTTGTTGCAGGTCACGCTGACGGAACCTGGTCTCCAAGTCCTCTGCAGAGGCCGATATCAAAGGTTTGGGAACGGTGTCCTGCGAATTGGGGCCCCCAAAAATCTCTGCAAATATTCCTGCCTCCCAAGGCAGCTTCAGCTCACTCCCTGGCTCTGAGTGGAACTGACTGTCAAACACGGTTTGATTGAGTTTCTCTTTCATTGGTCCTTCTAGCTCCTGAATTTGCGTCACGTCTAGCCCTGTGCACTCCTCATCAGACACGGCAGTTTCACACTGCCCTGCGACATCGTCCTGTCCTCCTTCGAGTTCGTTGGGAGCATTCAAAAACATATTCCATTCGGCTTCATTCTCTGGAAAATTCAAACTCGCGGCTCTGTCATCGCCCGCCCCACACTGATCCACGTCAATGTGGCGAGGCAAAGGTCTTTTCAGGTCTTCGGAACAAATCGAATCTGAGTCAATGTCCATGCCCGCGCGCTAATTGGAGCCAGCTCACAATGAGTGAGTCAAAAGAAGAAAAACAAGTAGCATCTTGCCTCTGTGCTTCGTGACTTCACAGCGTCACATTGAAAGTTTAGCCTCTTTTGTCTCGGCTTGATGCTCGTTCTCGATGAACTTAGACTGTTTTACTAATGAGGGGAGACTAACTGGGACTAATGCAAAGCGTCTATATAATTATCATAGTCGAACTTAAAGTTTGCAGTGTCTCACCGTCCAATGCCGTGTACAGTCTGCGCCAAACTGGCCACAGGTCTGGCTGGTTCCGGCTCTTCTCAGTCACGTCGTGGGATCCTGACAAGTCGCGAATGTTGTCACACATGTTCCCAAACATCGAAGGTGGTGTTCACAAAAGTAGTAGTAAGGCTCTTAAACCAAGACATCGACTCGACACCTGTCCCACACGGTAAGGTCGACTATATGCAAGTGTACACGTCAATGCTCGATCTCAGCCGGGCGAAAAGAAGAACACAAACCAATAAAATTTGTTTTCCTTGCTTGCTTCTTCCTCTTTGAACCTAACTCACACTCGTGAGAGGTAAACACAGGTTCCGACTTGCTTCCGCTTCTCACCTCATGTTCAAAGGCCACTTCACCACCCAGTCACACGACTGCACTTAACTCAAACATTTGAGTTCCAAGCTCACGTGAGCTCAACTTTGGGCTCACTCGAGCCTACCTGTAAAAACACGCGCTTACAACCCAGAAAAAAAACAATAGAAGGGGACGAACGCAATTTCAGCGCACTCGCGCTTGCAGACTCTTGGGCCCTGACTCAAACAATCCCTCAAGAGCGTCCCTGTCTTCAGGGACACTTGTCCCAGAGACTCGGCCGCTTGAACCGCCAAGTAACGGAACTCAAGCCTGCACTACGTGTATGGCCCTTAGGACACTTGCCCAGTAGTATGTGTACTTTGCCAAATTGACATCAAACACTGCTCAATATGACGTTTCTCAAATACACATCACTGAACGAGAGAAAAAAAAATAAACTAAAACAAAAAACACATAAATCCACTCCGTCAAACTCTTCCAAAGCAGATTCAACAAATTGACTGCAATTTCGGACATCTGAAGCTACACTGCGGAAATCTTATATGCACAAGTGCCCAAAGAAAGTAGCTGAAAAATGTAAAGTGTTTCTAGGGTTGCACTGCGAAAATCCCCAGAGAACAAAGTGCACCAAATCTTTAGGCGGGAGCAGGGCTGGCTTCAGCCTGTACCGGGATCAAACTGCAAGCGCAAAGAATGCGAATATGGCTGCGGGACCGACTACGAGTATGAGAGGCTGCAGGAACGACATGGGTGATTTCTGCGAAGGCAGTGGGCCAATACGTTGGAGGGCGATGCGAACTACGGCTACTCAAGTTGGAGGCCAGGGCCCCTTGACACAAAGGGTGGCACATGGCACGCGGCAGCGTATGCGGTTGTCGCAAGCAGGAAATCAGCATAGCCTCTGACTCAAACATGGCGCAAGCAGAGTAGGGAGCGCCCGTCGATTTTACGCGAACGGATGGTCCCTTGACAACTTGGTCCCAAAATTGCACGGTTTAAAGATACTTCCAACGTAAGATTAAAGATATGGCTTTGCTCAGTGTCCTGGACATCATTGTGGAACCGTGGCGGCTCACTCGTTACCGGATGGTATCAAATGCATGTGTCCACAAATGACCAAATCAGCATATCAAACAGATTAAGTTTTCTTTTGGGTTCGTACAACGTACTGCTGACGTAGTAAAAATAATGCACTATCCCTTCTTTGTCGGGAAACGTTTCAAGTTCTTGGCCAAAAATCTTCAATCCAGATCCCTGGAGGATTGAAGGTTGAAGATGTGAGACAACTCTTGGCCAGAAATCTTCAATCCAAATCCATGGATTGAAGACTGCAGGCTGAAGATGTGAGAAAACTCTTGCCAAGACATCTTCAATCCAGATCCATGGTTGAAGATTGGGGGTTTGGAAATGTGAGAAACTCTTCGCCAGAAATCTTCAATCCAGTTCCCTGGATTGAAGGTTGAAGATTTAAGATGTGAAAAAACTCTTGACCACAGATCTGGTTCTGGATTGAAGATTGAAGATGTGAGAAAACTCTTGGCCAGAAATCTTCAATCCAGATCCATGGGTTGAAGGTTGAAGATTGAAGGTTCTTGGCACGAAATTTTCAGCCTTCAATCCACGGATCTGGATTGAAGATTTCTGGCCAAGAGTTGTCTCACATCTTCAATCTTCAATTCAATCAAGGGATGGCAATCTTGCATCCCGAGTCTGACGGCTGTTCAGACTTGAAAATCCCAAGTCTGATTGTGTGTAAGTACAAGTCTTTGGAAGAGCATCAAAGGTGGATCTCAGGGGGTGGGTGGATCTCAGCAAGGGTGCCATATATATGTAGACATATAATATTCCTGGATTGTGAGAAGGCGTTTGATAACATTGGCCATGAAAAAATGTGTATATCTTTTGCAAGATTGTGCATAACCCCCGGTCCTCAGTCTCCTGGGCAACATCAAGAGCATCTATGCCAACCCAAACTTAAAACCATCTAGAGCGCTTTTGAAAGTGATTAAAGTGATTGGAACAAGCAGCGCATGAGAATTTGACAAGGCTAATTATCCCTTTAAACCC